ACGGATTACGTCCGACGGTGGTGGACTTACTACGTTGTGCTTTCGATCGCGGGTTTCGAAATCAGGAACCCGAACGATAAAACGTGAGAGAATTCAGGCGAATATTCGACGGGAACGTGACTCCCGGGATCGCGGCGGCGGGAGCGACTACTGCACGTAGCTCAATTCAACGAATGGCGCGGCAGGTGCATGTTATTCACCGTTTTTGGACGGTCAGGATCTCGCGCGAATTCATAAAGCCAGCCCTTTTGTGCGAACTTTACGCTTGGCCCCGCGCGATCGTTACGGGAATTTTACGCGGCCCTGGCTCGCCCTTAACATCGGTCCGAGATAAAACCGAGAGCAAGCAAACCCGGAGAAAACGAGCGAGTGACACCGCGAACATTTTATCTCGAAATTTCTCACCGCGAAGACACTTGAATTACGAGGCTCTCCCTCTTTTTCTTTCTCTCTCTCTCTCTCTCGCTCTCTTTCTGAAAATCCTTCTTTGTTTCAACGATCCTGCCGCGGTACGACGCGTATCGAATCTTGCGGCTTTGCTTTTAATCGCGTTTAAAACGAACGATACCGTCGGGGATTTTTCGACGATCAATGGAGCAACGCGGATCTCTCTCGTAATGGCTGATTAAGGGAGAAAAATGAGACACGTTTCGATTCCTTCTTGCAACCACCACCAATCCCGGGAGAAGTAATCTACCTATCGCGGTGTTAAACGCTCGACCCGCTTCTCGGTTCTTCTCTCCGTTCTCGGAGAATTTAATCGAAAGTCCCGCGACGCGTAACTCGGCGTTTCCACGTGAAGCAGATTCAGTTTTACTCGGAGGCAAGTTTAGCAAGACGTTCCACGTAATTTTACGGTCAACCGCCGATGTATACTTCCCGTGACAGTATTGAGCTTGCCGGAAGGAACAAAGGTGGTCTCTCCTATCCTTCCCCTAGCCCCTCCGGCGCTATATCTCTGTGTACTTGAACCGATAACGTTGGCGTTCTGCCGCGATAAGGCCGCCTCACGGAGGCGGATCGCATGACGTTAATTATCTACAAACTACTTGCAAACTGCAACGTCACAATGCGGCATTCTGTGCGTATTTCGCACGAGCAATTTACATCGAAATTCCGTACACGCCGCGCGTGTGTGCGTGTGTGTGTTAGTTTGCATGAAAAGATCGTTCGTAACTCCGGCGGGACCGAATTAAAACGGTAAAGCGCCTGTAATTATAACGAGAGCGGGAGAGAGCGCGCGCATTACAACCGGGGGGGGACCCTAATCAACGCGCTAATAATAACGATCGCCGGTCGTTACGTGCGATTTTTTAGCGCCCGTAAAGCAACAAGACCGCATTATAATTTCGTGAGCGAGAAGAGAGGAAATCTAATTAAGAGAGAGAATCGGCAAACCCGATCGCGGGAAATTCACGTAACGTAGACAATAACGGGCTCGCGTGTGCAATTATCATGTGCGAAATCATTCGCGCGGTTTTATAATTTTATGTTTTACAATTCCCACTCGCGCCCACCATCTCTCTCTCTCTCTCTCTCTCTCTCTCTCTCTCTCTCTCTCTCTCTCTCTCTCTCTCTCTCTCTTTCGCATATCTGTTTGACATACCGTTAAATTTGACATTTCTGTAGCGAAGTTTATATATTCGCATGTTTTTGCTGAACTTAACACTTGTTTCAGCGTTCTTATATATTTTATTGTTTTTATATGTATTTTCTTATATTTTGAAATCTTTACCACTTGTTATACATATATTTTTATAATTTATATTTTTGAATTTATATTTTTTATTTATATTTTGTATTTATATTTTCTTACTTCTAATTAATATTTTTGTATTTAGATTTTTCTTTTCTTTATTTATGTTATTTTTTTTTTATATATTCATCTAATACTCATTTATATAGTTCTTTGTACTTATATTGAATATTTTCTGCGCTTATAATTTTTTTTGTATTGCAAGCGCTTGAGGGGAATTTTTCCCAGAGCGCATTATAAATAAAGCATAATCAATCAATCAATCAATCTCTCTCTCTCTCTCTCTTTTAGTCTATCGGTGGCGAGAGAATCGACGTATATATATATATATGTATCGGGACGAGTGTGTGTAACAATGCGCTTGTCGCGGTGTAACAATGCGCGCTCCTTTAATTTACTCGCGCCGCCCGCGTGAGTCCGCGGCAATAGACCGTATCGCGCGTTAAACTTCTTCCGCCTGCCATGTCGATATACACACGGGAAGGGGGGGAGGGGTCCACACGGGACGCTATCCGTCGAATATACGAGCCACTTACGAGAGCTCCGGGTGTGTTCACCTATAGCCTTCGTATATGCGCATTCCTTGGCCCTTTGCGTGCGCGCGCGTGCACGGGGAGGAGAGATACAAGACCCCGGTGTCTTTAATATGCGACAGACAAGCCTGACCTCGCCCTTCCTCTCTCTCTCTCTCTCTCTCATGGCGGTGCTTGTTTCAGACTATTATCCGAGTACGTAGCTACGTGGCTACCTACTCCGCGCGCTTACTTCGAGAGAATTTATAATAACCGCACTATGGAGTTACCGTCGCGCGCGAGGAAGCGTGTGCCATACCGTTCGTCGCGCACGACCACGCCGTGACCGGCGCCCGGGCGCAGAGCTCACGACGAGGACCATGCCGGCGTCGTGTACCGGATCCGTATAATGGATCGAAAGGGATTGTGAGAGGTCCGATCTGTGTCCGACGAGGCGAGTTCCGTTTTCTGCCGCGCGCGATCCGTTTTCTTTCGCGGTTTTTCTCTATCTCTCTCTCTCTCTCTATCTTCTTCTCTCTCCTTCCACGGGGGATCGTGATCAGATAGAGAACGCCAGTTAGAGCGGAGGATGCGCGACTGCTTTACGACCGTGAAATAATAACTTCAATTAGCTAATAACTACCGGTGATATAACAGCGCGCGATGTGCTCCGCCCGCCTCTCGCGCGCGGATAACCGGAGGTCGGGCGTTTCTTGCGCATGTTAAACAGTAAAATCGCTAATGACAAACCGCACGACTGTGTGGCAATAAAGCCGCCTGTTATTGTCGAGGCGTTAATAGTTTGCGCGGCCTGGTCTCTCCGTTGAACGAACGGAGAGACGAAACGAGGAAGTGAATAAAACTGAGAGACAATACCTAATAGAAAAGAAAAGATCCGCGACGAGAGAAAAAAAGTAAAAGACGACCGAGGTGTCGATGGAACGCTTGAACGATCACGTCGTCGTATCGCCGATAGCGGTCACTTCGTTGGAAAACGATCGTGATGGATTTTATATCCCTCACTGTCATTCAAGACAGACCGTCCAAGACCGGCCTTACCTCTTCCGAGCGTATGTCACTCGGCGAATGGCAGCGTGCGAGAGTCTGCCCCGCCGCACCTTGCGCTATAAACCATTGCCTTGTGCGTTGTAATGTCTTTTTCTCTCTCTCTTTATTCTCCGTGTGCACATCATTTCCCCGCCGTCGCCGCCGTTGTCTTCGCCTGCGCAACCGACGCAGTTGCGCCACGGCTCGCTGAATTCCCAGGAAGGTTTGTCGGGTAGCAATTGGATGTAGTTACGCATCGAATGACGACGCGCAGAAGGCCGACGCGCGCTATCTCTTCGACCATCCGCATCCCCGACGTTCTATTCCCGTGGGGGGGAAACTAGATTCGGAATACGTTTCCCGGAAAGCATTGTCCGCAAAATGTACGCGGTCAGCAATCGGCTGAAACTGCTCGCGCTGAATCTGACCGCACAGTGCTGCATTTCTGCGCGCGTCCTTCGCCCGGGACCGCGCGTGCATTCGTGCACGCCCCAAGTTCGAATGAAAAGGACGGAATCGTCGCGTCGCGCGCGCAATGACCCGGCGCGATTGCGCTGCTGACATTGATATTCGGTTGCGTTCGCCTCGATTTGCTCCGTGAAATTCAAAAGGGTACGCTCTGTAGAAGGCAATTGCCGACTATCAATCCCGAAAAGATCGCGCTTCGATAAACGCGACACATTTCCTTCAAGAAAGGATTCCTTAGATTTCTTATAGATTCGTCGCTGTGATGTTCTTTTTTTTTTTTTTTAAATTCTTAAATTTATTTTTATACACAAAAAACCATTCGCAAAAGTTTCACGAAGGAAACGCGATCGGCCACGTCGACGTTTCTCTTTCGCGAACTTTCCTCCTCGATTATTTCATTGTCTGTTGTTTGGGTTGTTTTACGTGTCCCGCTTGAAATGCCGATAAGACCGTGCGCGTGTTTTCCGTACGAGCGGATCAGGCCTACCTCCGATTTAACAATCCGCCCTCGTGCGCGTTGTTAACCCGGCCACGCGTGCCCTCGCCATTTCTTCCATTACCGACTCACGGAGGGGACGGGAAAATTTATTCGTTCCTCCGACCCGCCCCCCCCCGCTCGTCCCCACTTCACCACGACGCGAGTCCGCCGTCGCGCTACGTACTCGGAATATGAGTAGCACAAAGTCCGCCACCTTCTTACGTTAGAACGCGGTCGGACGGGAGAGAAAGACTTGGAATTAATATTTTTCTCTCTGGCGAATCGCGCGTCGCCACTCTTCTCGCTCGTTTTCTAAGGCAGATCCCCCGTGAAAACTGCGAAAGAATTTAAAATTCTTCGGTGTCTTCGCGCATACACGAGCGGTGTATAAGTGTGTGGAAGGGAATTATTATATGTCATATTACGAAGTTCACCACTCGCGGTCGCGCACAGCCGAGCGACGGCGCTTACTCCTTACTTTGATAAGACAGAGTCTGAATTTTTACGCGTTTCGCCGCTTGAATATTTCCAGATGTGGTAGAATAGAACGCACACCGCGAGAGCGTATGTTCGAGGAAAAATGAACATTTCCATTCCACGTTTAATCTAAATTCAACGATCATGTAGCGCGAATGAATGTTTATTAAAAATTTGAATGAAAGTCGCGTGCAGTTTTTTTTTTTTTTTTTTTTTGGCCAAATTATATTCTAACAAAAAATTGTCTATTTTTTTGTTGCAGGATCTGCTCAAGCCTTCGAGAGTGAGGGTCGAGCGTGAAACAACAACGGTAAGTGAAAGCGAATTATTATAATTTAACAGAGAGAAAGAAAATAAATAATTATTTCTGTATCTTTACGATTGATGCATGAAGTATTTCAATATCAAATATTATGTCGGCTAACTCTTCGCCTAAGGTAGCGAGCGGAGCTACTTTCCGTAGCGCGTAAATGGCGCGACTGCGGGTTAATGAGAATCGTTCTAGGTGCAGATAAGGTAACATTACTCGAGTTCACCCGAGCAAGTTTACGATTGCTCTTTGTAATCCTGGGATTTTACCCGATCCGAGATATTTGGAAATTTATTGCCTGTACGCTTAACGATCACGTCTCGCCGCAATAAAGAGACACTCCTCGAGTCGCGATCGGGATTTTCAATTTAACGTCCTCTTCGAGAGATTTTTTTCTCTTGCTGATATATTTTTTGTTTTGTCAGTAAAAACGTGATAGATATATTTATATTTATTCACACTGTGTAAAAGCGAGGACTCGAAATCGTCGAAAACGATCGAAAAGGCGTTCGAGTTCATTCAAAGCGACAATGCTCGACTGAAATCGCCGTGAAAAGAGAGAAGACCATGGAAACTTGCGCATTCTTCTTGCGGTAAAAATGCTTCGACACCCGCTGCACAATTCTTTTCCGTCGAGTGAATCTGTCACTAGCTATTTTCCCGTCCGTTGAGTCGCTGTTTCTTCTATGTATCGCGACTGTCGCTAAGAGATGTGCAAGTGGAGAACGCGTCGTGGCTATCCACGCTAAATTAATTCCGTGTCACGCACCGTTTTTCTCTTTGCGATCGGTAATTTTTCGAGAAAAGAAGCTTCTCGTTGGGCGGCTAAAAACTCATTCGATTGCTCGCTCGCTCGATCGCGCGCGTTTAATGGCCGCGCGAAATTACGATGATACACGGCAGAGCGCAACCGTCGATTAAAATAACGTGGCTGAAAATATTCGATTACGCGGAATATACAGAAAACGTCCATATTTATAGAATCATCCTATACGTATAATCCGTAGGTAGGCGTCTTCTCGTTAGAGTCTGCAAATTATCAATTCCTCGCCGTATCTCCTTGTAATGCGGCAAGAGAGAGAGAGAGAGAGGGAGAGATAGAGAACACACGGAGAGGAGAGACCCGGGCGAATTGCGAAGAGAGAGAATACGCTCGCGCGTCCCGCCACACTGTTCACGCACGCTACATCTCGTGTGTAGAGAGCTCCAGGTTTATAATTGAAACACATGGATTACCTATTCCGCGCAGGCACTAGAATCAAGCCAATTGACGCACAGAATGTGTTTATAACAGTGCTGTGTGCCTGCTGCTGCCTTTTGCGAGACGTAAGTTAGGTTCGGCATTGAAGCGCGGAAATAGGTAACTTGCATACGCGTCTTCGCGAGTCGAACGGAATATTCATCACCAACATATATATATGTTTCCATGTTGCGTTTTCTTCCCGGCTGAGAAATGTTGAGGAAAAACAAAAACAATTCAAAACTCGCGAGCAATTCATGCTTTGCGTGGGAAACTCGAATTAAAACTTCTTCGAATGATGCGGTCACGACGGACGTGTTATTATGTATGATGTTCACATCGCGCTCGCTTTTTTTTTTTTGTTTTTTTTGTTAACTGCATCTTCTCGTATTTCGCAACGGCGAGTGGAAAACGATCGGAAGATCGCGCGTCGACACGCGCCAGCCTGAATAAACGTCGCGATTTAATCTCTCGGATTCGCGTTTCTCAACGGTCGGAGGACCGCAATCTCGACAACGGACAGTTAATAGATGCGGATAGAGAAAAAAGACGAGAGAGAGAGAAAGAGAGACGGGAAGAGATCGAAACCGGTGAGCGATTCTCCCTGCGTCTTTGTTCGCCGCGCGCGAGATATCTCGGGAGTGTAACGCGGTAGGACGGGTACGTAATTAACGCCTCATGTAGATGCTATCGCTGTCGTGGACGAAGGTGCGCGAAGGTCCGCGTGACGACCGGGTGATGTACGGGTCTCTTGCTGCCGTAATGGAATATTATTATCGTTCAGCATCGGCTCTCGATCGTCCGCGTCCCGAAGAGGTTATACTCGATGCCAGAGGTGATCGGTGAGCAATGGTGCTCTATCGATGACGACGCTTCGACAATGCCTATAACTGTTCGGCTTCGTTTCGTAATCGGCGAGTTGTGCATCCGCTCGTCGAGACGAAGAGGAGGAAAGAGAGAGAAAGAGAGAGAGATATATATATACATATATATGTGTATATATATCTCGCGCGCGCGCTCGCGAAAGATGTACCGGTTTATCTCCGGCACCTTTACGGTCCGCGCTAACCGCGAGACGCGCGAGCGAAATGTATGAAATTATCGGGTGAAATAAAAGGAAGCCGCGCGAAGGGGAGTACACCGCGCCGCGCGAACTTTATATGCGCCTTTAACGCGGATAATGCGCGTTTTAGAGCGTGAGAAATGTTTGCGGCTCTTGTGTTTCGTAACAAGAGTGCGCCGATACTATCTTTTTTCACGGCTTGTAGAGTTAGCGATCGTTTAAAAAAAAATATATGCGTAGCGGCAAGAAGAATATAAATTTCAGATAGAACGCGGGAATTAAGGCGCGATCGTTTAAAGATCTTTTCTTTCTTGTCAAAAGATATCCTAATGTTTTTTAACGTTGTGGAATCGTGTTTAAAAAAACGCTGATAAAGTCTACCGAAAAAGCGAGCTAAAATAATGTCGCGAGAGTTTTTCAATTCTCGGTCGCAATATCAAAATATTTTTTTATGTAAATTTCGAATCGCATTTTTGGACGTGTTTTTCGGAATTGTTTATGTTTATTGTCGGAAATGATTCAATACGTACATACAGGGTGGGAAAAAAAAGAACGGTATTTCCTGAATAACTCGAAAAATAGTTTTTTTTACAGAAAAATGTTTTAGACAACAGTTGTAGAACTTAAAAAGATCTATTTAGTGATCTTATCAGTTTGACCTTGGGTGACATTGAAAAGATCAGATCAAAGTCATATCAATTTTTTTTAATGAAACACTCTATTATTTCAGATTTTTATAGCTTAGTTCAAGAGCTTTCCAAAACACTATAATAAAGTTTATTTTCATTAAGCATTTTTTGACTTGAAGGTTGAATATTAAAGTATCGCTGGTGTCAGCATTAATTATTGTTATCATTCATTTCGAATGTTGTATTATCCAAAAAAAAAACTACGTTGAGGATAGGAAGTGTTAGGTTCTTTGTCAGCATCGTGTTTAATTCTCTGCATCACGAGCTCACAAAATTCGTTTCGATCAAAATCATCTTCGTAGAAAAAGTGATGATACTCTAATATTCAACCTTCGTATCTCAAAAAAAGTACTTAATGAAAATATACTTTATTACATACTGTTTTGAAAACCTCTTGATTCCTACAAGAATCTGTAATAAAAAATAAGGAGTTCCATTTAAAAAAATCGATGTGACTTTGACCTGATCTTTTCAGCGCCACTCAAGAGATCAAACTGATAAGATCAGTAAATAGATCTTTTTAAGCCCTATAAACTTTTGTCTGAAACATTTTTCTATAAAATGTCTATTTTCCGAGTTATTCAAAGATCAATCGATCTGAATATATTCTCCACTATGTGTATATTATATTAGCTTCTCGAACAATAGTTTTGTCACGTCAAATAATCGAGAGAGAAAGACGCGTTCTTTTTTTTAACGAAATTAAATTGTCGAAATTACGCAATTACGTCCGCGCGCGGTCTTTAAATAGCTTAACGAGCGATGCGGAAATTTTATTGAGAATAATCGGCATAAAGGATTTGGTGTCGGTGTCGTGTTTACGGGGGAGGGAGAAGAAGGGACGTGCGCGACGATGCGCGAGAAGACAATACCCGGGCTGTCTGCGCGAAAAGAACGAGAGGTCCGACGAAAGAAAGCTCGGGAGGAGGAGAAGGAGAAGGAGGGAGGTGATTGCGAAGAGCCATTGTGCGAAACTCGCTGTCGAACTTTGTTGTGACTTCCTAAAAAGTCGAAAAAGACGCCCGGTGGAAAAGGTAATGCATCCACGGTTGACGGGACGTCCTTTCCGCGCTTCGTCCTTCAGCGCCTTTGCTCTGGCGCCCGAATTGACTTCGAGGGCGTTTTTCCACGCTTGTTTGCACGACGATGTGTGACACGCGTCTTCGCCGCTCTCGCTTTTCCTCATCGCTTATCCTTCCCACGACCTCGAGCTTCGCTACTTTGTGTTTTTATCTTTTTACTGTCTGAAGTGTTTTTATCCTTTCACGAGATAATCGGACGATAACGATGACGTAAAAAAAAAGGCTGTCATAATTTTCATTTACTTTGATAGATTATTCGATCGTTTTCTAAAAAGAACCTTCGCTGAGAACATTAATATTAAACGCGGTCTGCAAGCGCGCGCTCACAAGTTTGCACTTTATATCTTGATGCATTAACATTTGACAATCTTGTTAACGAGTAACCGTCGCGCTTAACTCCGTGCACCGACGAGATAGTGTTACGATAATTTCATAATATCACGCGAATAAGCTTTCTCTAGCACACCTTCGCCCGGTTTTCTCTCTTTCGGTTAAGGAGATCATAATCCATCGCGCAAGTGTGGAAGATTGCCCGTCGGGATAGTTAGACGTCGTTTAATAAAGCGTGTAAAAAAAAAAAGAAAGAAAGAAGGGTGAAAGTAACGTACAAAGTATGAAGTAAGCGATGAGGCGGCAGGATGTACGCGATTAAATATAAAGAAGGACGCGTATCGAGAGGAAGATCGAGAGGAAGATCGAGAGGCGGGGGAGTATAGAAAGGGGAGAGAAAGACGAAAATGAGAAAGAGAGAGAGAGAGAGAGAGAGAGAGAGCGGAGAGCATGGGCGTTCCTTTCAAAGTGAAAATTGAGTCGCGATTACGTGCTTTATGGCTCCGACAATTTTCGAAAAATATTGCCCGACGCCGGCATAACAGCGCGGTCGTAAAATCAGCATATTCCGGGATAGAAGAGTTCGGTATTATGAA